TAACAAGAAATCAATACAACTGCTCCTTGTTCTTCTGACCTCCCCGACCTTCCCCTGCTTTTTGTTTAAGCTTTCCCCATTGCTCTGACACCAGCTACCCCTGTTCGCAATTCCCATGAACTCCGGATAGGAAATGGTCCGGAGGTTGGAGTGCATGGCTAGGCGAGTGGGTGGGAGCTACTATGAAATTATGGCCACAAATGACCATTTTCAACCTAACAGAGCTTTCATCTTGCACTAATGAATGCTAAAACCCTTCAGAGCACCAGTCGGTAATTACATTTCCAAAGTTCCGGCACAGTTTTCACCAACCATTGCAAATATCTCTCCAAGATACACTTTATATCTTCAAAAGTAGTTTTCATATTTATTGTTTCAAGAATTCTGTTCATTTAGAACTTGCTTACATTGTAACACAAGAATCAACATGCGAGATGTTCTGGGAAGCACCAATGCCCCTCCGGATGTTAGGATCAGGAGCTGGCTGGGGGGCAGGGGCCCTGCTGCCGTTGGCCGGCCAGACAGTGCGTTTCCCTGCCGCCCGTGCCCCGTGCTGGTTCCTGCCGCGTCACTGGCCGGGTCCCTGGCTCCCAGTGCCGTTGTGGCGCAGGACCGCATCTCCAGGGTTGGAGCATTCACAACTTCCTTGGGCAACCTATTCCAGTGCCTCACCACCCTCACTGTGAAGAACTTTTTCCTTACTTCTAACCTGAACTTCCCCAGTTTAAGTTTAAACCCATTACCCCTTTTCCTACCACTACAGTCCCTAACGAAGAGTCCCTCCCCAGCATCCTTGTAGGCCCCCTTCAGATATTGGAAGGCTGCTATGAGGTCTCCACGCAGTCTTTGCACTAGCTGGGAGGCGATTCCCTTCCCATCCCCTTCCTTTCACAGGGCTCCACTAGACCTGAAAATGATCTCTGAATAACTTGAGCTCAACACTTAAAGCAGCCCCAGTCCCTGATCTAGTGGTTTCTGAGGATGCTTCTGATCCAAATGAGACGGACATTTTGCAGCTGTGGCTTGGATCACAGGCCATTTGGTTGCTGGCTTTCAGTTGTGTATGTAAATCACAGTTGTTGAATTTTATCTCCCCAGCTTCCTCCCTCTCTTTTATACCCCTTCAATGAGGAGTCACTTGTCTTCCTTTTTCCCTCCCACCCATGAACTCCTGTGCTGCAGCCCCAGCCATCTGAGCTATGCCAGGGCGGCAGAGGAAGGAAGTCACAGATGCCGCAGCTCCTCGCTGCAAGGAGACTATACCTTTGGCAGTGCCTTCC